TATATATAATGTTGCGCAATAGCTACAAATTTAACAAATGGCGCAAATTTTAAGCCACGTCACCCGCCGCTATGAAAAGTGTCTCCCCGCCACTTCTCAACGTTGTTTTTTTTCTTCTAAATTTACGGCTTTTCAGGTTGCCGCCCCTTGGCATGAAGCTGCATTACTGTTCAGGGGTTAGTAAGTGACACTTAAGGCATGCCAAAGCGTCGTACAATAATATTGACTGCCTGGCCACTTTAGCATGCCGTACAGCGCTCTTTAGGATGCCTTAAGTGCTGTTGCAGCTTGCTGAATCAGGAACATAGAGTCTAGTACATGATTTTATTCCACTTCTTTATGATCGGGCACTTCGCTCCCGGTTGTAAATAATCGCATTGGCGTGGAAAATCGCGGCTCCTCGTTCGGCACAAATATTTGTAGACGAGAAATGTCGGTTTTTTTAGCTGCAAATTAAAAATAAAAATAAAAAAAAATAAAAAAAAAAGCAAAAAAAGTCTTCAGATGATATTGCTGACTTCTGATAGACGTGTGTCAGTGTCCTCCCGGCGCTGGTGCTGGTCATGTGACCCGTGTAACATGTTGGTCTGGTGACGTGCGGAGGAATCGGTGAATGTTCCGGGTGCAGATTCACTTCATTATGTCTGACAAGTGGAACCTCATTTCATGATTTAATGATCCATCACAGATAGTAAATCTAATAACGAGGCCCGGGGGAGCCGTAGGCGATCTGCCGCCATATGTGCCGCGCTCCTCCGTCCGCCGTCTACTGGAGAGCTGTGCGGTCCTGTTCAGCGATGCGTGTGAATGTGATTTTTCATCTCCGGTGAATGTCCATCTCCCCCCTTCCTCTGTGCTGTGTATCATTGTGACCCCGGATTCCTATATACCATTCCTGATCATATCTTTCCTTGACAGTACACTACTGTGTCTCTGCCCCTTCTCTGGGACCCGGCTGTGTGTGTCTCTGCCCCTTCTCTGGGACCCGGCTGTGTGTGTCTCTGCCCCTTCTCTGGGACCCGGCTGCGTGTGTCTCTGTTCCTCTCCTCTGGCTGTGTGATGGGTTCCTCTCCTCTGGCTGTGTGATGGTGTCCTCTCCTCTGGCTGTGTGATGGGTTCCTCTCCTCTGGCTGTGTGATGGTGTCCTCTCCTCTGGCTGTGTGATGGGTTCCTCTCCTCTGGCTGTGTGATGGGTTCCTCTCCTCTGGCTGTGTGATGGTGTCCTCTCCTCTGGCTGTGTGATGGTGTCCTCTCCTCTGGCTGTGTGATGGGTTCCTCTCCTCTGGCTGTGGAGCCTTCCACATATCAAGTTGCTCTCAGCGGTGCATTGTAGTCATGTGATCTAAACTTATGTCTCCACCCTACAGATGACCCAACTCATGAAAGCAGCCCGTAGCGGTACCAAGGACGGTCTGGAGAAGACGCGGATCGCAGTCATGCGCAAAGTAACTTTTCTCCAACGCAAAGAAACGACAGGTGAGACAACAGACCAGCCTGAGACCTCCCCGGATCCCTTGTGGTCGGGTTTTCTATTTTTATTATCATAAATCATGTTTCTATTGGTGTATTTCTAAAAAAAACATCCCCGGGTCTGATGACGTGTAACCTCATTTATGGAAACTAACGACTTCCTGCACTCGCATCAACCAATCGGATCCAAGCGTGGGCTGCAACGTGCACCGGGGTGTTACGAGTTAGAAAAATGGCGCAAATCGCTTTTCTACCCCCCACGGAGTCCAGTGATTGGTTTTTACTTCCATTGATTTTGCTGAATTTGGCTTCATCAGGCAAAAGACGGAACATTCTAATTTTAAATCCCATTTTACGGTGCGCGGGGCGATCGGTCAGTTATAAGATATTCCATTCACGGTAAGGCCTCGTTCACACTGCCATGCGTATACGCGCGCATGTGCGTACTGTACCATATGCAACATATGCAAATAAATGGCTCCATACACATAGCCGCGCATGGAGCCGTATATTTACGCAGCGTAAAAATGCGCAAAAACAGAATGGAACCGAGATGCGTCCGGGCAGCGCATTTCTGCGTCTACGCGCGTACAGTTTATTAAGATTTGTATTATGCGTGATGCATTCTGGGATTGCACATAGTGCACGCACATACGCACGTATACATACGCAATGTACAATTTTGCTCTTGCGTTGTGTGTGAATGAGGCCTTCATGTTCACATTGTAACCGATCCATGTCGGTAAGTTTTCCCTCTGTAGGGAATTGAACAATCATTTAGGAAGGGGGTGGGGCCACCCCGGCACTCCAGCTGCGGTGCAACTACAAGTCCCACGAGGCATTGCAAGACTCTGACTGCCAGAGGCGGGACTCCCAGAGGCGTGATGGGGTTTGTTAAACCAATCTGTAAAAATATTTTAAGTGGCAGACTGATAAACAATAATAAGGGATGCACCGATACCGATACTCGTATTGCTGCCGATACCGATACTAGTATTGCTGCCAATACTAGTATTGATGCCGATACCGATACTAGTATTGATGCCGATACAGATACTAGTATTGATACCGATACTAGTATTGATACCGATACTAGTATTGATACCGATACTAGTATTGATACCGATACTAGTATTGATACCGATACTAGTATTGATACCGATACTAGTATTGATACCGATACTAGTATTGATACCGATACTAGTATTGATACCGATACTAGTATTGATACCGATACTAGTATTGATACCGATACTAGTATTGATACCGATACTAGTATTGATACCGATACTAGTATTGATACCGATACTAGTATTGATACCGATACTAGTATTGATACCGATACTAGTATTGATACCGATACTAGTATTGATACCGATACTAGTATTGATACCGATACTAGTATTGATACCGATACTAGTATTGATACCGATACTAGTATTGATACCGATACTAGTATTGATACCGATACTAGTATTGATACCGATACTAGTATTGATACCGATACTAGTATTGATACCGATACTAGTATTGATACCGATACTAGTATTGATACCGATACTAGTATTGATACCGATACTAGTATTGATACCGATACTAGTATTGATACCGATACTAGTATTGATACCGATACTAGTATTGATACCGATACTAGTATTGATACCGATACTAGTATTGATACCGATACTAGTATTGATACCGATACTAGTATTGATACCGATACTAGTATTGATACCGATACTAGTATTGATACCGATACTAGTATTGATACCGATACTAGTATTGATACCGATACTAGTATTGATACCGATACTAGTATTGATACCGATACTAGTATTGATACCGATACTAGTATTGATACCGATACTAGTATTGATACCGATACTAGTATTGATACCGATACTAGTATTGATACCGATACTAGTATTGATACCGATACTAGTATTGATACCGATACTAGTATTGATACCGATACTAGTATTGATACCGATACTAGTATTGATACCGATACTAGTATTGATACCGATACTAGTATTGATACCGATACTAGTATTGATACCGATACTAGTATTGATACCGATACTAGTATTGATACCGATACTAGTATTGATACCGATACTAGTATTGATACCGATACTAGTATTGATACCGATACTAGTATTGATACCGATACTAGTATTGATACCGATACTAGTATTGATACCGATACTAGTATTGATACCGATACTAGTATTGATACCGATACTAGTATTGATACCGATACTAGTATTGATACCGATACTAGTATTGATACCGATACTAGTATTGATACCGATACTAGTATTGATACCGATACTAGTATTGATACCGATACTAGTATTGATACCGATACTAGTATTGATACCGATACTAGTATTGATACCGATACTAGTATTGATACCGATACTAGTATTGATACCGATACTAGTATTGATACCGATACTAGTATTGATACCGATACTAGTATTGATACCGATACTAGTATTGATACCGATACTAGTATTGATACCGATACTAGTATTGATACCGATACTAGTATTGATACCGATACTAGTATTGATACCGATACTAGTATTGATACCGATACTAGTATTGATACCGATACTAGTATTGATACCGATACTAGTATTGATACCGATACTAGTATTGATACCGATACTAGTATTGATACCGATACTAGTATTGATACCGATACTAGTATTGATACCGATACTAGTATTGATACCGATACTAGTATTGATACCGATACTAGTATTGATACCGATACTAGTATTGATACCGATACTAGTATTGATACCGATACTAGTATTGATACCGATACTAGTATTGATACCGATACTAGTATTGATACCGATACTAGTATTGATACCGATACTAGTATTGATACCGATACTAGTATTGATACCGATACTAGTATTGATACCGATACTAGTATTGATACCGATACTAGTATTGATACCGATACTAGTATTGATACCGATACTAGTATTGATACCGATACTAGTATTGATACCGATACTAGTATTGATGCCGATACTGATACTAGTATTGATGCCGATACCGATACTAGTATTGATGACGATACTAGTATTGATGACGATACCGATACTCATATTGATGCCGATACCGATACTCGTATTGATGCCGATACCGATACTCGTATTGATGCCGGTACTAGTATTGATACCGATACTAGTATTGATACCGATACTAGTATTGATAACGATACTAGTATTGATAACGATACTAGTATTGATACCGATACTAGTATTGATGCCGATACCGATACTAGTATTGATACCGATACTAGTATTGATGCCAATACCGATACTAGTATTGATACCGATACTAGTATTGATGCCGATACTAGTATTGATGCCGATACTAGTATTGATGCCGATACTAGTATTGATGCCGATACTAGTATTGATGCCGATACTGATACTAGTATTGATGCCGATACCGATACTAGTATTGATGACGATACTAGTATTGATGACGATACCGATACTCATATTGATGCCGATACCGATACTCGTATTGATGCCGATACCGATACTCGTATTGATGCCGGTACTAGTATTGATACCGATACTAGTATTGATACCGATACTAGTATTGATAACGATACTAGTATTGATAACGATACTAGTATTGATACCGATACTAGTATTGATGCCGATACCGATACTAGTATTGATACCGATACTAGTATTGATGCCAATACCGATACTAGTATTGATACCGATACTAGTATTGATGCCGATACTAGTATTGATGCCGATACTAGTATTGATGCCGATACTAGTATTGATGCCGATACTAGTATTGATGCCGATACTAGTATTGATGCCGATACTAGTATTGATGCCGATACCGATACTCGTAGTGATACCGATACAACTATTGATGCCGATACTAGTATTGATGCCGATACCGATACTAGTACTGATGCCGATACCGAGTATTTAGGTGAGTACTCTGATACCTTTCCCGATACTGGAACTTCCGGTCAGGGAGAGATTTCCTCTGACCGGCAGTGCCACGAGGAAACATGGATCCGGGAAGCAGGGTCCATGCTGCTTGGCTTCCCAGCCAATCTTCGGTATCGGCATCAATACTAGTATCGGTATCGGCATCAATACTAGTATCGGTATCGGTAGCAATACTAGTATCTGTATCGGCATCAATACTAGTATTTGTATCGGCATCAATACTAGTATCGGTATCGTCATTGCTATGCCTGATGAAGGGACCCTGTGTGGCCCCGAAAGCGCTTGTGTAACTGACATGAGTTTGCAATAAAATCTACGAACTTTGATCCTATAAGGATTTGGTGTGCTGGTGACGTTTCTGCAATTAGGGTGGGGGTCGTGTCACCATATTGTCAGATCTGTTTGGCCGGCTTCAAGGCCGATTTTGGCTGGGAAGCCGGCTTCCCGGCCAATCAGCATCCAGACGGCCAAACAGAATGGAGTCGGCTTCCCGGGCAATAGAGATGCCAGGCTGTGGGTAATGACACGCCGCCCGCCTCCCTGATTGCCCGGGAAGCCGGCTCTATGCTACCATAAGTACCGGCGAGCACCGAAATATGGAGGGATTCCTGGTATCTGTGGGGTGTATGGAGGGATTCCTGGTATCTGTGGGGTGTATGGAGGGATGCCCTGTATCTGTGGGGTGTATGGAGGGATTCCCTGTATCTGTGGGGTGTATGGAGGGATTCCTCGTATCTGTGGGGTGTAAGGAGGGATTCCCGGTATCTGTGGGGTGTATGGAGGGATTCCTGGTATCTGTAGGACGCAGAGCAGCAAGCACTGCGTTGAGTGTGAAGAGGGAAGTGACCCACGTGAGGGAAATGTTCAGTGTCAGCACACGCGCATCCTCCTCCTTCCTCCCCAGACACAGCTACCCGAAACCTCAGTGCTGATCACACCCAGCCTGGCACTGAGTGCTCCATGTCCCCAGCGCTCCCCACGCTCCCAGCGCTCCCCACGCTCCCAGTGCTCCCCACGCTCCCAGCACTCCCCACGCTCCCCGCTCTGACATGTCCCTGAGGTTTGTGCTGGGCTGCCGGCCCCGGAATTCCGCGGTCTGGATCCGGAGGCGACTCTCCAGGAATTCGGTGACGGAGAATGGCAGCATCAAAGAGGAGAGCGTCTCATCGGGTAACCGGCCCGTTCTCCCGGGGGGAGGGGCGAGGACCGCTCTCTCTGTG